AGCAGAAGTAAAAAGACTTTTACGTAAGAAGTGCAGTTATAAAGTAGTAGATGTTAAGATTCATTTTGTAGACTACAAGCAGTCTGATCTGATCTTTCCTCGAGTGAAGTCCATCACTCGAGGAAAAAAAGAATCTGTGAAAAGAAAAATAATTTTAGTGCGCCACGGAACTCTAGAAGTGAGGTACGCAGACATCAATTTTTTCCACTGATTTTATTCCTTTACTTGCGCGATGGACTTCGGCGAAAAGGAGGGACTGCTCGTTGTCTATTCCTCCTGAAACATGATTAAAGGTGCGCGACTTGTGTAGTATTTGTAACGATCACTCGAAGTTCTCATCTTTGACATAAGCACCATCACGGTATTAACTTGTTCATAATCGGAAAGCAATGCAATACGGTTCTCTAATGTGTTTACTAATATGCGCTCGTCTGGCTTAGCAAATTTTGGCAAGCGTATATATGATAACTTAATTGTCAACCTTCTTGTCTTATATCTTAAATGTACATAATTTTTGTTGAGTTAAATTTGGTTTCAATATGAGTTATTTCTTTAACTTTCCAAATAAAATTAACTTATTTATTCGTATATTTCAGTTACATCTGTTGATAAGGGCTAAATAAGATATTATTTTCAACCGAAGTGTTACCAAATAACTGAATGAACGCAAATTGTAACTACATTACAGTCATTTTGTATAAATATTCCTTAGAGTTCAATATTGAAGCTTTGATTTCTTGTTTCATAATGAAATGGCGCATCGGTGGAGGGGAGTGGCATTTATAATAAATTGCCTTAAGGCCCGGATGTGGATTGATTCTCTAAAAGCGGGGCTATACAGCTCAATTAAATACAAAGGGCTCATGAGTTCATAACAAGGATTTCCCTGTATAAATTGATGAATAATTCATTCATTTTTCTTTTCAATATCTTTTCATGAACTAATCTTACTTCGTTACAAAAGCTATCACCTTTCGCCTGTCTCCCTGCCGACGGGCCACTAATTTTTTCTAGGTTAACATTTTTTTAAAACAACTGTGAAACAAGAGAATAAGTTAAGAAAATCGTGTTTCTGACAACCTGACCTTTAAACGTTGTCCTTAGCCCGGTGAAACTCAAATTAGTCTCTTATATCTTAGTTTATTCCAATCATTTTCACCCGACTCAGCGCTGTAAAGTTGAGTTCAAGTCCTCTTGCGGCTTAAAAAAACTGTTTTTCGTAACATAATCAGTCTTTTCTGGAATTGCCTTGGTAAAAAATCAAAGCCTATTGTAACTTATTACGTATGGTTAGTGAGACACCGTTCTTAAAATAGCTGCGCAGTATGACTTCGAACTAAATTTA